AAAATTCATTGCAATTTCTCACATGCCCCCAAAAAATTGCCTTGCCCCTCTTGTCGCTTAATTCGAGGCCTGATGCGTAGTGTAGGACGTTTACGCATTAGTGGTACCGTAAAAATACACGCGTCTGTGGGCCTGGTCGAATGGGAATTCTTGACGATCGATTCCTGCGCTGTCAAACTTTTATTGTGGTCCAATTTAATCGGGGCGGAGGTAATTTAAACGTGACGCAACGATTGAAACGTGGGGGGAGTTTTCCCAAACGTGGCGGGCGCGCCCGTTTTGCACAACGTAGGGAGGGGCCTGCATCTCTCTATCCGTGCATGAGTCACGATGAGATAAATGGGACAGGCATCATGTCAGCATACTGTAATTGTAAATCCGGGCTTGGTGAATTCTGTTCACATGTTGCCTCGGTGCTATTTTATGAAGAGTGCAAGAGAAATCACCACCCCCACTCAAACGGCTGCCTACTGGATGCCGCCGATATATGTATATAAGTGTAAATGTGTAGCGGCGTGCACCGTGCGTGCGGTGTACCTGTGTATTGCAGAGGAGCATTTGACCGCAATTTACAGGTAATTATCGGCAATACTAGGCGAAAGGGAGTAGAGAAACATTAAGACATTGGTAGTAAATACATTTCGTGTTTATTCAGCATTGCTTTTTTATTGAAAATGCTCCAAACGGCTGTGGTCCGCCTTGTCTCTCGTCACTTTACCTTGTGTTGTGATCACGCTAGGCAGCCTAAAAAAGCTGTGTGGCTCTCTCTGATACCGATTGCTGCAGTTGACAACACCGCAGGAGAGCGGCGTTGTGATGGATTTCCTTTTAATAATAAACATTTTAGCCTATTTGGGTTTGGTCTAACTTTTTAATAGGCGAATAAAATGAGCAGAGAACAGTGCGTTGCTCAATGTACTTGTACCATGCCTGAGCTGGTTTCTGTAATCGTCATGGCCGGCGGCGTTGCATTGTGTGTAATATGAAAAATCGCTGAACCCTCTATAGCCCTAGTCCGAGTTGACACAGACCCCAGTAATGGGGTCTGCGGCCGTGTCTATCTCAATCACGGAAAGCCACCTCCAGTTTGGAGGTGGCACTTATAAGTAATAATATGCGCCCGATATATACAATCCTATTGCGTGGAACTTACTTTAATCTGAACTTGAATCATTTATCTACGTGCATGCACGCTATATATGATGTCCTGTTAGCGGCCGCAACATAGAATATATCAAGTTGTTAACCTAATGGTAAATATAAACATCAAAACAAAATGTTCTTCATTCACATTTGTCAACCAATGAAAATCACTTCCAGTTACTTTAGCTATTTCCGATGTTCAACAGGAAACATGGTAGCTAGTCCGCGCCATCTATTATTATTTCGAATTATTATTTCCGAGTGAATCCGAAACTACCGGAAGTGAATTTCATTGGTCGATCGATAAATCAGTCCAATATGACAAAAAATATCGAAGTTACTCTTACAGGATGAATTATTGCATGAAAACAAAGTTCTGAAACGGAGATAAAGTCTTCGGAAAGCGATATTGACAAACAGAAGGTCTGTACTTGATATTTTAGGTCGGATATACCCCCGTCACGCCCTCAGTGCAAACGGTTCCAGTATAGGGAAGTCTATTTCTACCCGTGATCGTAATAGTGGTTACACGTGAGTGTGTTGTATTACACCCTTTGCTAGCATCTATTTAAATACAGGTTATAAAGAACATAACGACTATGATGTACGTATCCAGTTATCTCTTTAATTGTTCTGCATTAACTATGCATACGCCCATAGCGGGGCGAACGCGTACAGTGGATGTGCGCGAGTAACATCACAAACTTACGAGGTTATTGCTGTATCGTAGCCGGCTCTAACCAATCTGGTATATTATACAATCTCTCTGTTTGACTCTCTCTTCGATCCTCTCTTTAGTCGAACGCGCGGTTATATACCCACATAGGTAGACATGCCTACCTATTGTTTGTGGTCAGTCCGTTCTACGTTACCGTCTGTAATTGGCTAATTCTACCACTGTCTCGTCCAGCGTTATAACTTTACACAGCTGGCCTGTATACCAAAATAGAACAATAGCTTATTCATGTATATTTACTTCTCTGTCTTTCGACGGTATTACACTTGCGTGAATATCCTCCTTAAGTATGTGATTCGCATGACACTATTCTGTGACTCGAGTACGATAGTAGCTCATAGCGTTAACAAATGTTAGGGTCATCAGAATTTTGATGACTGAAATGTTATGATCCATGGAGAAAAAGTTAACGCGAGTCACAGAATAGTGTCACAGGAGTCACATACTTGGGAGGATGTTGCTCACTTCAGAAGAGGTTTCTAGCAGTGCAGGTGATGTATGCAGGTGAGTGATCATATTATATTGGTACTGGATAGCTAGTTCAACAGATATAACTTTGATCAAACTTATAGTATTCTACAAAAAATCTAAAGTGTGAAGTATACATCAAAACTTGTTAGTAGCCTAGCACACAGCTGTCACGCACATCACGCAGAATAGTTTGTGATATCTGAGAAAATATTAGTGTGGCTGCATAACTTCCATGCTTAAATATGCATAACTGGTGCCTTTGCTGAAATAGTTTCTTTAAACAAGTAGCAGCAAGCTAATATAGGATTGCAAGCCCATAGAAAGTGAGATTTTTGTAGAAACTAGCTGGGTACCCGGTGTTGTTCGGGGAAAAACGCTTAGGATAAACTTTTAGAGCAAATGCAGCCATAGATATTTACTTAATTTTACGGATAGATTACTAACACTAACAGAGAAACAAACACGTGATTAGTGCATGCTATCACACATATAAATACATAAATAGAGCGAGTCAATCGGCATAAATATATACGCTGTGAGTCATCCCAACATGCATTGCGTGCTACGACAACAATACCATTTCGAGGCATTCATTCTTTAACTTTTAATATTTTACTTGTTTTTAAATCGCAGTTTTTAGTGTATCCTTTTAAATGTGCTTAGGCCACCCTTAGGGTGATAACCTAACCGTGTGGCAATTTGTGGCATCCTAAACGAATAAACGGCAGAATGCATAGGAAACAGACAGCCAGATAGACATAGTTCGTTTTTGTAGTAGTATAGATATCATGGAGTCATGGTAGAATGGCTTATTTGTACATTACTTATTTTTATTTTTATTAGTAAATTTTATGTGGTTTTATTTTCAAAGTGGTGCTGCATGTCAGCCAGTGCCCCAATTGTATATTTCTTTAAAAAACACATGAATTATTACTAGCCATTTGCGGCCTGTGAATCACGGGCCTCTAGCATTTACCCAGGCATCATCAAAACATTATCACAATATCCAAGAACTAAATAAAGAAGCATAATAACTTGTATTGAAATTATAAAATGTAAAACAGACAGTTAATAAAAACAGAGTAGTGCACTTCGACTCAGATTCATGCATTGTCACCTGTCCAAAGGCTATGATAGTTATCAAAGAAATGCTATATTTGTCTAACACACAAATTGTTATTAGTGTGATGGCAGCATCTACAGTTCACGTCACAATTTTCAATGATCATGTGTATTGGATCGTGGCATATGTAAAAAATTCCATTTGAGGCTTTGCCACGTGCCTGAGACTGAGTTATCGGTGCGGTGTGTAGCTTTTGCTGCGATGCATGTGACAGGAGAGTTCAGGCAGTTGTTAATTAACAAAAAAACTGATGCTGACTGTGCGGAAGCCGGGCGCACACGTGGCGATTTTTATCGCTAGTAGGCCTACTGGCAATTTTGTTGCCGGCGACAGAATCGCCGAGAGATCGCCACGTATGCGCTGCATGGCGATGGCGATTTTGACGCCAAGAAACTCGTCGCGGTAATATCAAACATGTTTGATATTTGTTGCCGAGTTGCTGGACAATCGCCACGTGTGCGCTGCACTGTCGTTGCATTGTCTGACAGATCGTTGATTTGTTGCCGGGTCTATTAAAATCGCCACGTGTGCACCCGGCTTAATGCGCCAGTCACACATACGCGACGCACGGCCCGTGCACTGGAAAATTAGCAATTTTGGCCAGTGCATTGTCTTTCGCTGGGTGTGCGTCAGCATTCGTTACTCGTTCGTCGAGCACGCTGGACCAACGCTATGGGTTCGTTGTCATTCGCTGTGTGCGTCGGGATTTTTGTGCATGCACAAAAATGTGCGCGGAGCTTGACGCATGAATGTACACGCCAGAAGGACGCCAGACACGCGCAGAGCGCGCTGGACCAACACCGGACACACGCGGAGCACACGCTGGGTATTCATTGTATGTTCGTCGGCTGAGGTGTAGCGAACACCTAGCGCACACCTAGCGTGCTTCTAACACATGTCCAGCGAACATGCAGCGAATATGGGCGTGCTGAACGAGTCTGTAGCGCGCCCAACGTTCTTCTAGCGTGTTCCTAGTGTGTACGCAGCGTGTAGCCATGGGGTATATAAACGGGTCCTGCCCCCACCTCCTCATCATCACTTCTCCTCCGACCCTCATGGGTGATGACAGAGGTTCCTGCTGATCGTGTTTAGAAGAACCACCGCAGAAGATGGAGGATCCTGACAGGCTGCGACTACAATACGAAATCGCGGTTCTCCAACATCAGCAGAACCTCATGGAACTGGCACTTCACCAAGTCCATGTCATCAGGAGAAGGAGAAAAAAAGAGGTGAACCGAGGTTCTGGGTCCGACCGTGGATCGGTAGGCGACGCAGTTTGGCCTGTATGACCAGCTACTTGTTGAACTTCGTAACGAATACCAGGCAGCCTTCAAGAACTTCATGCGGATGCCCCCCGAGATGTTCGACGAGCTGCTAACCAGAGTGGGTCCGAGGATCACCAAGCAGAATACAACCTACAGAGAGGCTCTCGACCCTGGCCTGAAGCTTGCCCTCACTCTGCGGCATCTTGCCTCTGGGACCAAGTATCATTCAATGTCCTATGGGTGGAGGGTGCCTCACAACACCATGTTCCTGCTCATCCCAGAAGTGTGCCAGGCAACCATCGATGAGTACAAGGATGAGGTGATGAAGTATCCTACCACTCCTGAGGAATGGCGTGCCATATCTGACAACTTCATGGAGAGGTGGAACTTCCCCCATACCTGTGGTGCACTTGATGGCAAGCACGTCAACTGCAAGTGTCCTCCAAACAGTGGTTCCCTATACTACAACTACAAAGGGTTCTACTCCGTTGTCCTCATGGCGCTTGTGGATGCTGATTACAAGTTCATCTGGGCAGACATCGGCGGTATGGGATCAGCATCAGACGCTCAGATCTACAATGCTTCTGAGCTAAATAAATGCGTTGAAGATGGTAGTCTAGGCTTCCCTGATCCCGATCCTCTTCCCAACGACAACCAGGATGTGCCCTACTTTTTCGTTGGCGACGATGCCTTCGCCCTACGACCCAACATGATGAAGCCGTACAGCCTCCGGAGTATGACGCGGCCGGAGCGCATCTTGAACTACCGGCTTTCCCGAGCCAGGAAGGTCGTAGAAAATGCCTTCGGCATCCTGGCCAACCGTTTCCAAGTTCTCCTGAGCACGATGCAGCAGCAGCCTGTGATCGTCAAGCTCATTGTCACAGCATGCATGACCGCTGCCGTTCGCTGGCTGTGCGTTGAATGCGCAGTGCATGCGCGGACCATTCGTTCCGTGCGCTAGCAACACGCTGTGCATTCGTTAGATTTTTTAACATGTGCACCCTGTATACGCGCAGCACGCTAGCAACACGCTTTGCATTCGTTGTCAACTGGCTAGCTTCTTCCAAAGTTGGGCGCAAAACGACGCACTGATCTTATTTTCCATTTTTTCAATGCGCGGGCTGTGCGTCGCGTATGTGTGACTGGAACATACGACAATGATAGTTATCGCGAAAGAAATTCTATACTCACTGAATGCTCATACACACACGCACGCGCACGCACACACGCAAATACGTATGCACGCACGCTGGCACGCACGCACGCACACCAATGCTCACCGAATATATTTCAACGTTCACACGTGCACGCACGCACGCACGTGTGCACGCACCCAAACACACACGCACGGACGCACGCACGGACGCACGCACACACGCACACACAACAATTGCTCACCGAAGAAATTTCAACGTTGTTAGTGGCGTCGGAAAATTCAAGCAGTGTTTTCAAACACCCAGACGTTTGGGGAAACGTCAGATGTTTGGGGAAACAAAATTTGCAAAATGAAACACCGAATGGGGTTAGCCGCTAGAAACAGCTGCCGCTGGAGGACAGCACATATCTGCAGAGGTGAAGATTATCCGCGCACCCAGATGCACACCCGGGATAGAGTGGGGGAAGTGGGTGTTTATTCTTTTGTGTGTGCTGAGGAGTTATGTAATATGTTTATTGAGATCTATACACTGTGATATTAGTGGTGCATATGTGAACTGGGTGTTTATTCTTTTGTGTGTGCGTTGAGGAGTTATGTAATATGTTTATTGAGATCCACTGTGATATTAGTGGTGCATATGTGAACTGGGTGTTTATTCTTTTGTGTGTGCTGAGGAGTTATGTAATATGTTTATTGAGATTCACTGTGATATTAGTGGTGCATATGTGAACAAGGGCGTCGGAACTGCCGCGGCAGCCGCGGACACCAGCCGCGGCCATAAATTTTCCGTAACCAAAATCTTTCAATAATTTATACCCCGTCNGGAGTAGGTGAGTGGGTGGGTCGGGGGACAGTTGGTTGGGTGAGGGTCCGAGAGTCAGGGTGATGAGTGAATGAGTAGTATTTCTTAAAACTCGTATACGGAAAATAGACTGGCAGCCACTGTATAACTCATCACTCACTACTTAAGGCATTACATTGTATGTCACTAGATTATATCAGGGAATTAGTCACATTAAAGAGACCTAATCGGTACAGTCTGCGCTCTGGTAACCAAATGTTAATTGAGCCACCATCTGTAAAAACGTTGGCTACACTTGGCGATCGAGCTTTCTCATCAGCTACCCCAAAATTATGGAATAAGCTACCTAGTCATATTCGATGTGAAAAGTCACTGGAACCTTTTAAACGCCTAGTCAAAACTCATCTATTTAACATTGCATTTAACACATAGAAATAATATTTTTAGGTAATAATTTGATTTGATTTCTATTTTATTGGAAATGTTATATTATATTGTCGTTTTTAGGATCTATATTTTACAATGTTGCAGTCCGCTATTTATAATCAGGAATTGTTATAGGATTGTCGAAATTTAAGTAGGATATTTTACAGTGTTGCAGTCCGCTGTTTTATAATCAGCCTTTGTAATGCGCACGTAAACATATCTGCATGCAACGTGCGCAATATAAATCAATAAATATTATTATTAAAATATTACATGTAAAATGAGCAAACACAAAACACATTGTTTTAAAGTTAAAATAAAAACTTTATTCATAACATTCAATAATCAACACTATCTTCTGTAGCATTTGAGCTACTCACGAGTCCCGAGATGTCTCCAACAGCGAAGATATGCCAGAGATGCCAGAGATGTGAGGCAGAGACATCTGCAAAGCCATGCTCACAGCCTCCAGCACTGGCACTCACCGCACCTGTGTCCAAGCTGGTGTTGAGCACCTGGTGAGCATCGCTGATGGCTGTGCACACGCTCTTCTGCTGCTGCTGCTGCTGGGGTAACTGCTGTTGCTGCTGGGGGTACTGCTGTTGCTGCTGGGGGAACTGGTGGACCCGGAAGAGGAGGCGGCATCTGGTTGGCCATGCTGGATTGGTATCTCTCCATGTAGCCGCAGTCCTGGGCTGGCTGCCACCGCTCGACGTACTTGGGAGAGGACGAGAAGTTGGGTGCAGAGCTGGACCGGGGGTGTCCTCCTTGCCAGAAGGATGGCGGCGCGACTTGTGGAGGCTCTTCCTCATCGCTATCCTCCATGGCAGCTTCCAGAATCCGGCTGATGTTCGTGCGCGCCTTCTTGAACTTCCGTTCTGACAAGTTCACCAGTGTCCCCTTGACGTAAGTCCCGAAGACCTCCGCCGGAGACTGGGGCTGCATCTTCTGCTGCAACTGGAGCACCTGCTGGCCAGTTTCCTGCAGCTGCTTTTGCAAGGTGGCCATGACAGCGTCCTCCAACAGCTTACCTTTTCCCTTGCCCCTTCCGCTGACTGCTGAGGCTTGCTGAGGCTCTTCCTCCTCTGCGTCCGCCTCTACGCCAATCCTGGCGCACTCAGCCTCAGCAGCCGAGAGATCACCACTGTGTGCTTGGATCGCATCCTTCACCTGCAAGTACAAAATAATAAAAATAATAAGTAAAAAGAATGCAAAAAAAGCTAATGCAAAAATGATTGCAAATAGATTTTTTTAGATACATTGGACCCTTTGATAGTAAAGATTCATGTTTACATAAAAAGTATCAATAGTCTAACAATATGTAGCTGTACTTACACTGCTAACTGGCTCTGGTCTGTGGTAGGTGATTCTTTTGAGGAAGTGCAACTCCTTCAGGGTCCATAGCTCTCTCTCTGTAAAGATCCGTTGCCCGGACCCGGACTTGGGCAGCTTGTCCAGGCGCGCAAAGTTGTCTCTCATGCCCTTAAACCACCCTTGCAGGTGAGAGACTTCCTTTGACATGGTTTCTGCCTGCTTCTGCCATGCAGCGTTCTTCATGTCAGGTCTTCTGTAGTGCGTCGCCTTCTTGTTCCACAGCATTTCATTTGCCTCCAAGAAGGCGACCATCAACTCCTCCTCCTCATCGGAGAGCTTGTGGCCCTTCTTGTCCTTCTTCTTGCTGTTGGCCACAGTCGATGCCTGCGATGCCAGCGATGCATGACTGTCTAATGACCCAGAGCGTGAGTGAGTAGGGGAGCCCTGATGGGATGAGGATGGATAACGTGTAGCATCATCGACAGCATCTTCGACGACAGCATCATCGACGACAGCAGCAGGGTCCAGGCTGGGCAGCTCTTTCCCTCTGCCTCCACGACCACGACCACGACCGCGGAAACCAGCAACAGGAGCAGGAGTCTTCTTCTTCTTGGGGTTCGGGGACGTCGGGTTCCTTCTCTTGGATGGCATATTGAAGTTGTGCACTTGTCACTACTTTGATATGAAGGCAAGCAGGACGAGCCGCCGCTTTTTATAGGCACAGTCACGTGACCTGTTCGTTCGCTGACCTGTGCGCTGACTGTGCGTTGGCTATGCGCTAGCTGTGCGTTGAACGCTCGGTGCATGCGCGGACCATTCGTTCCGTGCGCTAGCAACACGCTGTGCATTCGATGAATTTTTTAACATGTGCGCCCTGTATACGCTCTGTATGCGCCCTGTATACGCGCAGCGCGCTAGCAACACGCTGTGCATTCGTTGTCAACTCGCTAGCTTCTCCCAAATCCTGACAAAAGTTGGGCGCACAACGACGCACTGATCTATTTTCCATTTTTTGATTAATTTTCAATGCGCGGGCCGTGCGTCGTGTATGTGTGACTGGGGCATAAAGAAACACATCTTTCCCGCAGGGTGGTAAAAATCGGATCCTACAATACTATAGCGTATCCATCCGAGCTGAAGCATCCGGGCACGTCTAGAATGAATTGATTTGGAGTTTGGTTTGTAGTTGGCTGGTTCGGAAAGTGTAGTGAATAGATTGCAAGCCCTATGAATTGATTCGAAGTTTCCTGAATAGTTTTGCACACGGACCGGAAACAACAGAGTGGGCGGCAAATTGTAAACGTTAGTGATTTCAGAGGTCTTGAATAGATTGGAAGTTGTAAACATTTATATATGTTTTGAAAGCTGTATGATTAATTTGTAATTTAAGCTATACATTTGTTGTTTGTTACCTAATAATTCTGAAACCAACAGTTAGATTCGCATTTCTGGTGATTAATGTTAAAAGTAATAAATTAATTTCAAACTTAGTGAACTGATTCGTTATTCTGTAAATTAATTTAAAACTTATAATTTCAATTGTTAGGGTGAGGAAGCAAGATTTAAACATTTGTGAGTTTATGTAACATGTTCTCAATGAAATCGCAAGTTAGTAAATTGGTTTGTTGTTTTAAAAATAAATTGTACGTTTATAAAATGAATTTTTACAATGATGTGAAGGAATTTGTATATCAGGCAATTATTTTGGAAAGTTGTGAATTAATTTGCAAGTTAATAAATTGATTTGTTATTCTGTGAATTGATTTTAAATTTTGAATTTAAATTTCTCAAACAATATAAAGTAATTTTTATTTTTAATAATTAATTTGAAATGTTTTAAATTGATTTAAAATTGTGTAGTTGAAATGTTTGAAAATGATTTATGAAGGGGATGGCTTTCCATATGTTGGTGACGTTACAATGTGTATGGTTGGCGGAAAATATGGTGTGTACGTGTTTGTAAACCGACATATGGTTGGACTAAATTGACAAACCGTACACCATACGACTCACGCGTGCGTTTTCCCTCACTCTCGCAGGCATGAGCACATGTCATGAGGTGATCGTCGCCCGACACAGCGGCATGCGCGTTCTCGGCATCTCCATGATAACAAACTGCGTTGTCATGGACTACGAGGACCAAAAGCTTGCCAATCACGAGGAGGTTCTGGAGACGGGCCGAGTCCGCGGCAAAGTGAGTGCAGCGCGAGCCCCCCCTCGGTTTGGTGGTGACTGATTACGGTGCTCTCTTGTCTTGTATTGTTAGGAATATGTGTTTGAACTGGTCAGAGAGTTAAAAACGGTTACAAACTTCTGGAGGTAATTCAAATTGGGATATGCATCTTTCGACCTAGAAAGTATAATGCGATGTAGGCAAGCAACTTTCCTCTGCCTGCCAGGTTGTGCCAAATTGAAAAAAAATCCACGTATCCTTCCGTGCTGTGCCGTATATTCTAACCCGGGCCCCGAACAGACAGGGGGGGATGGCCCACCTTTTAGGTCCGCCGAATCAAGTTTCCTCTACCAACCGCTGCGGTGACGCCTGCCGCTTGCTTTAGTTTAGCCGCTTGAAACCTAATGTCTGATGTTTGTCTGCAGGATCTTCAAGCCCTCATCATAAAGGTGATCAGCATGATGCCTGAGCCGGTGGGACCCGAAAAGGTCGAGGTTTAACCTCGAAGAAGCCCATAGTATTCAACCAGGTGGAGGTGTAAAGCTCTTGAAGGAAGCCAGATATGTCGAGGCGTCTCTCCGAGGAGCGAGGGCGCGCGCGGAACGGTTGGAGGTGTGAGGCTCCGTGAGGAGGAGGAGCGCAAGGTGAGGGACCCAAACAGGTGGAGATGCGATGAACGTCAAGATTCTGCCTGAGACGTCGTGAGACGCGAGCCGCCGCCGCCGCGCCATCCACAAATCTCCGCACTCTTTCCCCCTTCCCCAGGGTGTGATATCTGCGATGTCGTACGAAGCGCGCCGTACGTGCAAGCAGTCAATCGAGGGTTTGCACGCAAGCAGTCGCGCGATCCCGGCCTTACGATGCGCAGGTGTCGAGTCGTTTGACGACGCGTTTTTTCGCAAAGTCGTTTGTCCTGTGCCTGTGCCAGGTGTGTGCCTGGGTGCCAGGTCACATAAACAGGTACGAAGTTCACCTGATTACCTCAGTACACACTCCCCCCCCCCGGCGATTGTTTGCGTGCAGCCTGTACGCGTGTAGGGTTGGCTTTTAAAAGCGTTTAGATCGTCTGTTGCTTTGTTAGTGCGCGGGAGGGGGGAGGACGGAGATTTGTGGATGAGCAAAAGCGGTTAGTTTCGTAACTAAATCTAAAGTGGCGACGGTAACCACCACGAATCGGAATACGTAAAGATAACAGTGCAAATATAACTAATTGAAACTGAAAAGGTACGCGGGGCTGTTCACATTCATCACCGTTATCGGCAGCGTATAACCCTTGCACGCAACTGCCCCAAAACTGCCCCTTCCCGCCCAAAACTGCAAAATATAATTGCTGAGCACTGATTTACTTAGATAGAGTGATAGGAGCGCGCTAGTTGGCCTCCTTTTGTATTTCTAACCACGCACAACAACCGCTGCCACCGCTTCCCCCTGTGTCTGTTTTGTACTCTTGTAGTAATGTGGATGACTGTGAACGGCCCCTGGGTAAAAGATGTTTGGGACCATTTTTACATAAAAAGTGCATGTATGTAACGTACATATGCCTGTTGCAAGGCATGATTGGAGGATACCAGTCACGTAAGTTTAAGAATGATTTACAGTGTTATTATGTTTAAAGTCTGCTGCTTACAGAATGTTATAGGTTAGTATTCACTAGAAATGTTTTTTAAATGTTTGAAGATTGTTTGTATCAGTAGACATCCTATTCATTGGTGTCTCTTTTGGTTATGTCGTTAACTTCTATTTAAAGTGTAAATATTGCTATTTAGAATAAGTATGTGAGTAATCATTATCAATATGAAAGTAATAGTGAAATTTATAGTATTGCGATCCCCTTATTATACCGTATTTTTCAAATAATTACAATTCTTTCAGTCCATCCTGTACATTTAAAAACCTCCATGAAAAGTTCAGCTAGGGAATAGCAAAAGTACTGACGACTTCACACCGCCAACAAATTAACGACAGTTTCTCAAACATTGATTGAAAAAAATGGTGAATATACACTTAATTTTAAAATGATTAACTGTAAATAACTGTTAAACCTATGTTGAAGTTATAATTCGTAACTATTGTTGTATTTCCAATGTCTATTTTTTGTGTCACATTTCCTATAGTTGGGCAAAAAGATGATAAATTAGGTCATGTGTGTGTGTTTGACTGGTACACAACTCTTCTTCCCTCCATCCCTGATTCAAACTATATGTTATTACCATTATCTTTGTATCTGCGTGCGTCACCAACCCCAATAGTGTCTGGCCTAGAGTGTACATAGATTGCTACACTTTATTCCACCTGTATCTTAAAACGGTGACACTACAAACATGTCTTGATTTACTATCAACTATTGCCCAACTGTTGAGGTATTCTGAGCAAATATTCCTTTACTATTATAACACACTTGATTGTATCCATGCCATTTGATGCCCTTGATGTGATCGTCTGTATGTTCGTCTATATGTTGCGCCGAACAATATCAATGCACACCCAGCAATAAAAACAAGTATACCTGTTATAACCTTGATTATAACTTCAGAGGCTTTCTGAAAACCAGGCCGTACGTTCTGCTATAGGCACTGCGTTGACCTTTACCCACACAGGGTTCGTAGCGGGTCTTCCAAAGTCTTATAAGTACTTATTTTGCCAAAAATAAAATAAGGGCTCTTATTAGTACTTATTTTTGGTGAAATCTTAGAAAAGTACTTAATAGTCCTTATTTTTTGCCGAAGGACCATTTTCAACATTTTCTGTGTTGAATTTCGGCGAAACGGCTCTGCAATTGTGTACATATAAATATTATTAGTGTACTTTAATAGTCGGTGATCTATCAGAAATCGCGTAAAAAAGTCTTATTTTGGCCTCCAGAAAGGGTCTTATAAGTCCTTATTTCAACATGTGTCGTACTACTATGAACCCTGCCACATCTCTGTAGCATCCCGTCACAGCAGCTGTTCGGATTTTTTCGCGTTCCCGTGTCCTAGCAGCCTATAGACTGATACCGTGTCGTTGCCTGAGCCAGCGACTAATGTGTGTACACGCATTGTTTCTGAGAAACCCGAGCAAATTCCTCTATAAAGAACAGCTCGCTCAGGTGGACGGGGACTGGTTTTTTTCATAACGGAAACTTCGTCGTTGTTAAATTGATGTCTTCGATTTTTTGCACGGTTTTGTCATCTCTATCGTAGTAATCGAGAGTGAACGTCTTAGTGTGCGTATAATGTATGTGCCCGCGTCCCGTCATTGGTCGGGAAAGGCACGTCATCGGGTTAAAATTAAGCTCGCTGGGCTCCTGATTTTTTCTACTCTAGTTGCTGGCTTCATGCATTGTCTGTACGTCAGTCATTGGTTTCAGCCACCGACTGTGGTTTCAGTCGATTTCCAAACTTCCGTTATCCGTCGTTCGCTGGGATTCAGTCGTATTCGTTATTCGAGTCAGTAATTACGTGTATGTTTTCTGTAGTGTGATTTGCGCGCGTGCGTGCGTGCGTGTGCTGTGTGTTTGTGTGTGTAAATAATGCTTGTAGAGCAGAAAGTGTTCAATTTGCACTACTGTACTGCCAGTATGGAGTACGGTGTGTAGCGGGTATACTGTTGTCAAAAACGTGTGGCTACCTAATAGGTTTGGTCGTCGGTGATTTTACATTTACTAGGCCGGTGTTTATTCATGACTGCACGTAACATATCCCTGACGGGGTTAGTGTTACATCGAGATGTATGCTCGTCGTTTGCCCCATGTGAGATTTTCCACTTTTGTCTCCAATTCAAACGAACGTTCATATTCGTTGTTCCAGTGTAATCGTGCCGGGAGCAATTGATAGAAATAAACTATACAACTTGTGAGAGAGGCTGCATAAGGACTATGCAAATTTTGTGTAGCTATATTCCAGTTTTGATTACATTTTGCTTCCTGGTCGATTCAGTTTGGATAACGGAAATTATAAGCGTGCATTCGGGCTGAGAATAGCAAGCGCGTGGCGGGAGAGAGTGAATTAGGGGTTAAACTAAGACCTACTGTAATGTTATATTTAGGGTGTTGAACTTTGCGCAGCTGAGGCCCGGTGAGCTGTATAGAAACATTTGCACGCACTTATCTGATGGGGCGAGAATAGAAACGAACAGGGGATTGTTTCTCTTCAATCCTGATCTGATTGGTATTATTATGACGCATATATTTTGTATCGAATATTGCTGTGGGTACTTCATAATCCATGTATCGAGTATATGCATATCACATATAGAAAATATAAATATATATATTTATCCACATCATAATATTTTTCATTTATCTTGAGTTTTAAACGGAATGCGCCCAGTGACAGTGTATGCCAATACATATTTTTATATGTATATATCTGGTAACAAAATATTGCCGTTGAAATCTTTGACATTTAATTAGTTTAAAATAAAAGTTTGGCTTCATTGCATTATTGAATTCCTAGGTTTTTCAAGGGCGGTACCGATTGTCTCGCAACCTTCGCACTTTACGGTTTACTTACCTATTATTTTGCTGTATTAGCCGCATATGTCTGTGTATATATTAAAAAGTAATTCCATTATTTAAGTTAAATGCAGTATAGTTAGGATAAAGTTTTGGGTACGTGTTTGTGCGGGGTTATCATTTGTACCAATCTGTAAAAGTAAACTTACATTTATTCATTTAAAAATTTGCACTTTGCTAATGTGTAAAAACAACAACGTACAATTACACGTTAGATCGAAGTCAAAATGCGCTTTTATGACAAAGACGAGGAAAATTTACATGAAATTCACATATTTTAGATGAGCTGACAAGTTCGGGTGGAAATGTAATGGTATCCCTTTTATCCGGACGGGTCGGCATTCACCAAAATGACACGGCAACGTACATAGGAATTCTACCACATTTATCCAAGGTCCGATAAGGCGGTGCCGCTGTAATAGAATGCCAAAAGTCTTCTAGCCGACTGATGCTTGAAGAACACTGACTTCTAGCTTCTGTCGACATTATACAGCACAACTATATACAGTGTAATACACCGCCTCGCCTACGGTGCTAATAAATTTGGGATGCAAAAATTGCACAGTCGGGGAAGAAGTAGATGTATAACGGTTACGGCCTGGTTGCATACGTAAAAGCAGATTTCTTCTTCCTGGCGGCTTTTAGTTTTGACATATTTTATTATTATACACGCACGCACGCGCACACACGCACGTATACAGGCACGCATGCACACAGGCACGCACGCACGCACAGACACTGATCGCGGTATTTATTACATCATTAATAATTTCACGGTTGATGGATAAGCTGCTTCTGGCGTACAGGAGCAGTGCTAGTGCTGATTCAAGCAGTGGGTTTTTTTGCGTGCAACTACAGATATATATGCAATAATGCAAGAAGGTGCATCTTTGGCTCGCGGATTTCGAGGTTGGTGCCAAGCGTCAGCGTCGGTGTAAGTATTTCTGATGTGTATGCTGTGTGTTTAATGGTTGGCCCAGTATTTCTGACGCGTGTACCTGCAACTTCTTCATGACCATCTGTTTACAGATCTAGGGGAGAAGAAAAATGTATCCGATGACGTGACAAAATGGGTTTTCCGTGTAAGATGTGGGTGATGACGTTGCAGGGTGTGGATAGATGCGGAACAGGTGGGCCGGTGTCCATTCCTAGTTTTCAAATTCAAAAAAGATGCCGGATCACAGTTCCCGGGTATTTAAAATCATAATGGTCTTTTCCGTTCCTAGCTCCAAGAAACGGTCATACATCAAGATCTGAGTATATTGACGTTAGTCACACAGCCTGGTCGGGCTACCCCGTTCCCAGATAGTTATAATGGCCTGCTTCTTCTTTCCGAAAATAATCCTTCCCCGCCTCTTCGGAACGCACTCCTTCGTAGATTACTTCGACGCAAGGGCAATTCGGCGCCGCAAGTGAAAGTTTATTCATTTATCGTCGCTATCTAGACATAGTCTATCGGTGTCTGGTCTGGTGTGTTCATGTTTTTTGTTAGTCAGAGATTCCTCTGACCATGCAATGCCCACACCGACGATTTTGGTGTGGGTTAGTAGAGTACGTGGCACCAGACCAGATGGGGAACAGGTCTACCCTGGGAATATTGGCCGCCTACATCTACCCTAACCCACACCAAATCCACCAAATCGTCGGTGTGGGCATTGGTCAGAGGAATCTCGGACTAGTTTTTTGTATGACGGCATTTCAGTCGCCATAACATCCTGATGACCTCGATATCCTCGTGTCGGGGCGCGCGCTGGTGTGTGTGTGTAGGGGGTGATAATTAATGTAGCCCGAAACTAGAATTACAATTTAAAACCGACACCGAGTGATTTGGTGACGATCTCACCAAAATCACACATATGACCAAAATAATCACACGGAAACGCAAGGTTAAAACGGACACTTTACTTTCATTATAATCTGCACGTACACTGGCGCCACCTAGAGACCACCATTGAACCGATAGGTATATTTGCCGAGACATCCCAGGATGTCAATACATGAATAGCTGAAGCGTTCCGGTGTTCACCGCATCATGAATAGTCTCTTGGACGCAAATCACAGAGAGAGAGGGGCTTTCACAGTTTGTGCACGCGAAACCGATGAACGCCAAAAACTACATTTAGACGGGCGATGATAACACAGTATCAAGAGCGCATATCTACTATAACCGCTCGGCACTTATAAACAGCAGTAACTGGTCGGTTTGGTCGCACGCCACATTCACATTAACCAAGATTTGCTGCGGGGGATCTAAGAGAAGCTACAATAAACGAATCACTCATCATAAGCTAGCGGCATTCTCTTTAACTGGAGACGACTGCCACTGCGCTCTGTACTTTACACTAGCAAGGGTCATCGGGTGCTTACACAAAGCAAGAAGCCATACTACCTCACTCACCGTGTGCATATTATATATATATATTCGTAAACTATCGATAATATATTTCTGTGCAAACTGACGCTATGCCTACGAGCGAATAATATTAATATAGTAAAGGTATTTTTTAGCTCTTGGTACGATGCTAAACTGATTTGGTTACATGTGAATGCTGTTGATAGACAACAACTCTCTAACAATAAACCATCAAGGTCGTAACAGTTCATTCCGTTGAGCTCAGAGCCGGATAATAAAGAAAGGTGTAACATTTTATACCACTACCCCTACCACCTTTATAGCAAACATCCTCGACCTTGGACGAATAAAGATTAAATCCGAGTCACATTAATAACCCGCCCTGCCAGGCATGTCCATGCTGCGTACACACAATGTAGGATGGGAAATTTGTCATAGGAAGAACTGTAAACCATGCTACAGGGGCACAGTGCGAAACCAGCACAGGCCGCGCGAGTGTTAGAGGGGGCTACGAAATTCGGGGAAAATACTATATTTCCACTGAGATACGGCCATCGGAATAAATGAAAACAAGTGGTGTCTACGATAGAAGGGTGCACAGGATATACCACTCATTTAATCCGGTCTGACTGGAACCTACCCCACCGACCTTTGAATCTCAATACACACGCACGCACGCACGCACGCACGCACGCACGCACGCACGCACGCACGCACGCACGCACACACACACACACACACACAGACTCCTGAATTCAGTAGTACGAGAAGTGAATCTATAACACACGCGTATCGTTATAACCGCACCAAATGCACATTAATTAGTCTAGCCAAACTAATTGATCTGCTCCTTTGTAGTACATTTTCAAGAGAAGCGGTCTCGCCTGCAGAGAACTCATCCCAGCTGCTGCACATTGCACACTTGCCCTGCTCCGTACACTGTGATAAAATAACCAACCAAAATACGTGGAGCGGTCCGAGTTTCGTACTAACCAAGCGCGTGGAGAACTCGATGAGCCCCGAACCGACAAAACTACGCGATAAAGACGTATCCACGACACCACGAGACTTCACAATTACAAGCAAGCTTCTGCACCGTCTAGAAAAGTTATGGATTTTATTTCACGCGCTCAGTCGAAACCACAGCTCAGGTTTTTAGCGATCGAATCAGCTAGCACAGGCAGTAGTTTTTCCTATACGAATATTTTTTTGGTCATTGAATTCGAATTGCAATAGAAGGGGCCGTACAACGCTATTTCAGTACAATATATACAGATCGTAACTGAATTCATACAACCTCATGTATGTATTGAATCAAGATATACATGTATACATTGTGCTAGATACCTCATGCGTACCTAGATTCTCGTGTTTACGTGATGATACTATATAACATATATAAGGTAATATGATTACCTTGTTCACACCACTCATATTATAAGAATGTCACTAGCAATTTTAGCCACAACTGTCAAACGCACACCCCAACCATGTCCTTTCATCACATATCAGCTATTCTCCCATGCCGACAAATATATATGTAGCTATACTCTGTGGATTCACAATACAGCTAATGATTTAATCTAAATAGCTTAGCTGAAATTAAATCTAACAATTGATCAATAAAAACAATCTTTTCGGTAGCTACTAACTGTTTTCTAAACCTTACAAATGATCAGAGAAGCAATAATATGAACAAGATTCAGAGAATTTCTGGAAGACGGAATGCTCTCGCAAACAAGTCGGATTAAGCAGAAGTCTGTTGTCAAGGCAACCACACATAGACCCACGCATCACGAGGATAGCGAAGTTATAGAGTCGTTATAGAAATACATGCAGTAACAAATAGTGGCTCTTGCTATGTACATCAGAGCTTTACTACGTGCAGCTTCCCCCGACGGAATGTTTTTAATGTGCGCCTGCGTTTCTACAACATCAAATGCAGAAGAACATAAATCCAGTTCCCTGGTATTGGTTCAAAAGGCCACTCTGTGTCTGTAGCAAGAAAACTCACCGCTGCCGTTGTACAAAATTGTGACCAGATAAAGGGATTTTACTTCAAGGATCTAGGAGAGAACGTCAATGTGATCTTCACGTTCCGCCCACCAGCTGCCGGTTTCGGTGGTTCCCAGCTTATCATGTCGCGTTGATGAAGATAAATAAGAGCACAGTAATATATAAATAGATAAGAGGCAACAGTATTTTAACACAGAACAAAACATTAGCTGTCCGCTACTCTCGAAACTAAACGATCGTAAACATGACACCATCTACAACTTCGCGTGACTGATCTCAGTTATTCTTGTATCGCTCTGATGGGATACATAGATTTCGTCAGAATCAACGGAATAAGCCGAATGTGTAATGAAGTTATGTGAATCTACTGCAGTCTGCAATGCAGTAATGCAGTGATGCCATGTCAGAGTCCGCCATGTCAGTAGAGCACAGAGCGAGGACATGCACGCTGATTGTCAAAGGCAACTTCTTTTACACCGCAAGACTAGCAAACAAGATCCTCCACTCTCAACACAGCATAAACATTTCATAACCGGAACTTAGAATAAATTAAATTGCGCATTCGTTTAAGCATTTCCGTTCATTCAAGAATACCTGGTCTCAGCCACGCAAAATTTGATCAGCAAAAATCAGCAAAAATCAGCGCAGATATTGATTGGCAAAAAACAAGGCAAATAACCAAGGAATCGTGCATCGCACATATTTTTTGCATATGTCTTACAAGGCTTTGAACTAACAGCAGTAAATGGTCATGTATTGTGTGATTGATGCTAGGATCCTCCATCTACCTTAATGTGCTTCCAACACACGAGCTATGAGAACTGTTATTACCATTACTCAGCCGTAGGGATTAAGCTTGGGAATATCTGCTACCTATTTAAAACACAACAATAACAGCAACAACAACACTAGACATGATGGCAATAACGAACACACACTCGCGCCTAATTGTAACACAGACGTGTGCGCACACCTGCATACAACAACAGGCACCTTTCACTTTTCCATACAGCATAGGGTCATCACTATATAGCTGCATGCATTTAGGCGTATATATCTGTACTATTATTTATTAACTTCGCAATAGAAGACCATTTGTGAACTGCGGAAACATGATCTCTCTCCCAGCATGAGCATCAGCATCTGGGTAGATAGTATAAGTGAACACCCACAACGTGTGCGCACATGGCTCCTATCACTGACCCTGCCATCGACCGTCTGTCTGTGCACGCGTCAGGGTGCCTCCGCGAAACAGATCCACGTGGATACAGCTGATATTGAGAGTCATGGGGGGTGGGGGGAGGGGTACTCCTAGCAACAACCACCTCCTGCTTGTTGTCCCAAACTTCCTGATGGGGCGTGAGGACTTGAGGGAGAGTGTTGTGGTCCGATCTTGATGCCATTTGCCTATAATGCCATTTATTATGTAAACTGTTATGTAATACCAGTTATATATAACTGCCTGAACAATGCTATAACAACAGTAACAATAAGAACCATATGGAACGTACTGCAAGTGGGTTTAAAGGTTTTCATCATGGCTGATTGGTAATCACTAATGCAGTAATTATTTGACATCGTTTCATTTAATTCTTGCACAGGATATAACCTTATGGGCAGGAGTGCAATTTGTAAAGATAAAAGATAATTGTAAAAACGTTAAGATTAGAAAATGGTTTGCTGATTACTTACCTCATTGTTGATGTCAAAAACACCCTCTTGGATTTTCTCGTAAATTTCTTTTGCTGTATTAATGAAGGCCTGAAAACAATTATATATATTAACTCTTATCAATAATTCACACCAACTACAAGTATACAATCTTTTAAGTGCATCGGTGATCAGCATACCAACTGGCAGGAGGAAATAAAGTTGGGAATCTAACCATAATGGGTTGTTGAGACACTGTAGCAAAGTTAACAAATGTGGACGTTTACAGAATATTCAACCGAGCGGCACGCACCTCTTCCACATTAGCCGCCGTCTTCGCTGACGTCTCCATGAATATGAGTCCATGCTCCCTCGCAAATGCCTCGCCTTCTTCCTTCTTCACATCTCTCCTCGACTCTAGATCCCTGCAGCGACACGGATGCCATGGTTACAAGGGTGCTATGGTTAAACAGGCGTTCTCATGGATGGATAGGAAAGCATAGTTTATCATTGAAAGTGACTAGTGAGCATAGCACATGAGCTTTGTGACAAAATTGGGCAGTGATGTGTAATGAAATGATTTCTATGGGTGGTCGCTTTCAGAGACGTTTCTACCTGGACCACAAAATCAGATGTTTTAATCATTATATTTATAATGTCATTACTTGGGCCTACCGACCTTCGCCTACTTTACTGCCAGGCAAAATAGAAATTTCATACTCGGGAAGATCTTTTACAATTTAAATATTTTATAACCTCTGCTAAACCAAGATACTCAACTTGCATTCCACTCGTTACTTCAATAGTTACAGAAAGATTTTCTAAGCAAACATAGACCAAATCAATTGGAATTCAGTCCCAAATATATATATTTGTGAAAATTTTATGTGTGAACATATTTTCATAGCAAAATACAAGCATTGAGCGTATTTCATGGACAACAGTGACTTTGTGCTGTTGGACAGGGACTTATCGACATGCCGTACGTTTTGTTTCCGATGAGCATAATCACCATGTTGCTATTGGAATGTTGACGTGCGTCTTCCAGCCAGGTTGTCAGATGAGTGAATGTGTCTCGCCTTTAAAAAAAACAGCAGAAACACATCTGAATGACATCTGACACAAGCTGCTGCCCAAAAACATAAGATTTAGATATATCATGTATAGTTATCTAATCTATATTTGAGTTCGTATGTATGTATGTATGTATGTATGTATGTATGTATGTATGTATGTATGTATGTATGTATGTATGTATGTATGTATTATGTATGTATGTATGTATGTTGTATGTCTGTATGTATGTATGTAATGTATGTATACATTTTTAATGTATGTATGAATGTATCGTAGCGTTATGGCGCCCAGAACCGCCCAAGCAATCTGAATGCAATTTTCACAGCGCGATTTCCTATAACCGAGGTGTGTTCCTAGACGAAAAAACCGTCAAAACTAGACAATAATATACCACAATGTAACTCTCTTGTCTATTGGTTTCAGAATTGAGTCCCATCATTTGTAATCTGTAATCAAGTACGCAATCATTGAATAAAGACTGATTTACGAAATGAACGTGTTCTATCTATGATGGGACATGCATTGACTGGTGAACAACGCGTATCTTATCCTGACAACTCCCCTGAACTGCACAGCACGATGCCGGTTATGTGACTGCCAGCCATCGACGAAGTGCGATTACGCGCACGGCACGGACGTCGCGACTGGCGGATCGTGCAGCAGCTTCACTAACGCTCACGCCACCGATCCAATAACGGCGAACGTCTACCCACAGGTCCCGCACTGCAAGAGGTGGAAAGGGTGAAAACGACCAACTATATCTTCTGCCGCACCAGCGAAGACGTGTCCTACTTCAGATCGCGATGGATATGACTATGTCGAGACGACTCCAAGTGCCAGCAAGGACAAGGTGATGCAATTATATGGAGCTGTTGTGATGAACACTTAAGGAAAGACGCTGCAGCAGGCAATGGTCGTGGCACTGTTGGCAACAAATCTGAAAGCCGACGTATCTGAAAACATTAAAACACTCGCTGTAAGGGAATAAAACACCATGGTTTGCTACGGCGTTACCCTGGCATACATGCGCACAGAGACCGCGACGAACCAATCCGTGATTCGTGCTCGCCTCCGTGTCCAAGCAGGGTATGCAAGTTCATCATGACGTGTCGCTGGTTGTTTGGCAGACGACGTGAACTACACAGAGGCTGTACTGCCGTGATGTGTTGACCACGAGGCCTGGAGGACACCGAAATACAACTATGAGCCTACTCGGACAAGAAGCGCAGGAAATGACGCCTTGAAGAGGTTTTTCATCTCGTTGAAGGCGTAAAGCATGCGGCGCAACGCTCGCAGCCCGCATCTCATCGACCCCACACCATAATGTGCCGACAGCCAAGTGCAGCAGCTCTTATAAACGTAGCATAAACGATTCTGTAAAAGATCGCAGTCAGGTAATGACAATACGAAAATTGGACAAGTCAGAATTGTGGCTCGATACTGCGGGAGAAGGCCACGGACGTCCGTAACCATACAAGGTAGACAGAAGGAAATGCCCTGCGTATGCCACAACATGGCCACCATTGTGAGCAAGATACCACCACCTTTGACAGCATGTGCAGAGGCAGGAAGCAAGCTAAGTACAAACAATGGCAAAGTTCATTTGATGAACACGAAGAGTGCGGTGTTTCGACCATGTGACTCCATAACACTCGCTGCGCGGACACAATGGTGGAAATATAAACTCTCGACCCAACGCCCCAATATTACAACGCAACATAGACATTTGATAAAGGCAAAAGTCGGGCGAAAACGGCTACAGGCCGTTCGTTACCTGCACAGTGGGAAGGCAACACCGCCATGAAGACTAACAACGTCTTGGTCTTAAGCTGCACATCCACGACGCCAGGTCAGTCGTCATTCCTTCAAACTGGCTGACACTGGTTGCCCAAAAGTTGCTGGCGAGTCTCAAGGTCATCAATCGGTTCGGTCTTCAGAGAACACATTCCTCACCGTAGTGAAAGCAACAACGGATCAGGCGGCACAATTCTGATGTGATGACAAGCCTAGGCTCGCGACGAAAATGATCAGCGGGCTCACACGCAGTGTGAATGTCCTCGACGACGCAGCTGGGCCGCCGCCCACCACGCATCGAGTGCTATATTTCGGCAGGGCAACTGAAGACAATCGAGCAGAGCTGAGACAATCCTTCTGATCGTTACAAATCTAGCAACATTCAGCAATCGTGCGAACACCAACCACTGCGATTGATGACAGGCCCCCCGCTACATCTAATGGGGACCCCAGAATGCCGAACACGTACGCAGTACATTGCTCCCGTGGCCTCGTACGCCATCCCATTGTGAGACGACGTTAAAGCTGGATTGGACAGAAGACGATACGGGCTATGGCGTACTAAGAACGCCAGTACCAGTTAGGTGAACCAGTGACATGGTGCCACGGCATGGTCGTTTGTGCGAAGAAACGGCAAGCGCGAGAGCGAAAACAGTTTACATGCAACCACTTAACACGGCATGCACACCGTGAAAACCCAGCGCACACAGCAGTCACCATTCCACGCAACGCGTCGGCTACACATGGGATGGTAAAATACTGTTTCGACGCGTGGAACGGCTATCACAGTGTATCCACTCGGGTATAATAAAAAAAAAAAAAAACAAAAGCAAAAAAAAGATAAGCAACTTACACGCTCACTCACACGCTTGGGGAAGAATACCGTATTGCACGGCTCCGGCACAGGGCTTAACATTGCATCACAGGCGACGCTACTCCAGACAGATTTGACGAGATTGTCTCGAATGTGCCCAACAAAACCAAATGTATCGACGACACACTACTCTGGCCGACAAGCGCTGGAGAAAGTTTCTAGCCAGGCATGTAACGCTGGTAGATACGCTGCGGCAGGAAAGCGGGATAACCCATGCAACCCTGAACGAAATCTGTATTTGCCAGCCGCACGCGTTACGATTTGCCGGGTTCGAGATACACCACAGAACTGCGTAGCCGCTTGCAGCGAATTCCTAGCAAGCGATCATCGGACTTTCCAAAACACGCAAGGAACATCACCGACATCGA